CTGTAATACTGCTTCCACCATCATATTTGGGCTTTGCCCACTGGAGTGTAATGTTCTCTCTCGTAATGACAACGGCTTCAGGTTTACCAGGTGGATCACAGGGGTCTCTTGCCACATAGCATTCCGATATCCTGCTAGATGGGCTGAGCCCTGCAATATTTTCAGCAAAGGCTCTGAATTCATACTCAATACCTTCTTCAAGCCCACTTGTTTTGAAGCGAGCATCCGGTATAACAAATTTGTTAAGTTTGGTCCATAAAATGCTGTTCTTTTCTTTGCGTTCAAGGTGATAGCCAATGACAGGACTGCCTCCATCTCTGACTGGAGGCTCCCATTCAACCACCATGCTGTACTTTGTAACAGTGGAAACAAAGGGGGTGCCTGGGGCAGCAGGAACACTGAATGGATATTGTGCAACTACAATGGGTGATGTGATTGCAGTACTTTTTCCATATCTATTTTCTGCAAACACTCTGAATTGGTATTCACTTCCTGTCTTCAACTTGGTAACTTTGATTGTGGTTCTTACTGTAGTTGCAGAAACAGTCTGCCACTCCATACTTGTAGATTCCCGTTTCTCCACTACATAGTTGTCTAGTTGACAGCCTCCTGTGTATTCAGGTGGCTCCCAAGAGATGGTAACATAGTCTGAACTGACTTCATCAATCGTGACAGGTCCCGTGGGAGGGTCTGGCTTTTCAAGAACAACCACGGTGATTTCCCCTGTATATTTTCCAGCACTGTTGGCTGCAGTGACAGAGTACTGACCAGAGTGCTCCCTGATAGCATGTCTGATATGAAGGACTGTTAATGATGGTGTGGTTGAAATCTCTAGCCTTGATGTTTCTTTTACTCCCTGGCCATCTTTTTTCCATTCAACTTTTGGTGCTGGGTTCCCCAAGACTGGGACCTCTACTTTTAACTCTTCACCATTCTTGACAGTGAATGTTGTAAAAGTAATCTGGAGTTTTGGCTTAATAGCATTTTCCTTATCTGTGATGGGGGTGGGTTGGACATTTGGGCTGATTTCTCCATTTTCTCCAGCAGAAGAAGGCTGGCCTGTAGTGCAGAATAACAAGCTATAATTGCAATTTATATATATATATATATATATATACATATATGGAAATGACATAGGTATCTCCTAAAAGATAATAAGACGATGTACAAGAGGCATCATTGGCATATTTCTCAGCTTTTATGTACAATTTGTATTGTACATTGAAGAAATCACAAAATTATATGTCTGAGGATTTTCTAAAACGAATCTACTGCTTTTACACTGTTAAAAACGAACACTGCTAGTTATTTAAGCTTATCTAAGGCATTTTAATCAACATATGAAACAAACTGATCTTGGGAGAAGCATCCTTCTTTTATATACTTCAATACAAAGACATGTTAATGGAATTTATTATTAATAATTTGTTGAACATTTTCTAACTTAACTTTATAACAAAGTACGAATACATGCTATCTATGCACCGCAGAGACAGGATGAATGTGCAACATACCTTCAACAATAACAGTGGAGGGTGACTGGGAAACCTCAGTATCCTGTGTCATGTCTATATTTAGAACGTGAGCTTCATCTTCTGCTTTCTTTCCTATCTACAAGAGAGAGGGGTAACTTTTAATGTTAGTGAAAATGAGATTAAATATATACATTTAAATAGGAAAATACATTTTACCTTGTTCCAAGATTATAATATTGATTTGGTTATTTGGTGACTTAAAGTCTGTATTACATTTGTTAAAGAAAGCCCTCTGAGTGAGTTTTAAACAAGAATAGAAAGTAGGCTATCTTGCTGAGTGAGATGTGTGTAACCGAAACACTTGAAGGTGTTAAAAATAACTACAGACATGGCCAACCAGACTGCCAACTGCTCTGACGAACACATTAAAGCTGTATTATTATTTAAGTCTTAAGGCTCCCATTTAACATGCAAACAACAACATGCACAGAAAAAAATAACTCAACTAAAAGGACATTTGAGGATCCCTAAATGCTTTCTGTACTATATTACAATGACGTTTAAGATGACTTTCTTACCTCATTCTTGTTTTCTTCCATCGTTTCTCTTAGTTAAACTGAAAATTTAGATCCCTTGTTAATCAGTTTGTTGGCAAAGATGCCCAAAGTGCTGTGAGCCCCAAACGTTTAGGACACAGATACACAACTCTGCCAATCACTGCCTGCTTTATCTGCAAAAGCATTCAGTGACTAAAATAAGCATGGCGGTGGATTGGCCAGCTGCTCATTCTTTCAAAATTAGTTTAGCCTGCATGGCTCAGCTAGAGATAAATGGAAAACGTCTCATCACTTAAATATTGTCCACGTACCATTCCTGTTATAAGAGGGTTTTCCCTGTAACTTCATATTTAGGTATTAATACACACCTACAGGCAGGCAAAGAAAAGCTTAATAATCTTATTTTACTGACCTTTTCAGTGTTCGTGACTGATAAATATTGTGGGTGTTTGACACTTTTTTTGGCTTCAGCTAAGATTTTTGTTGGATTAGAAATGAGTACAGTTCAGTTTGAACAGTTTGGAGACAAATTTAGAGAAGCAAGGCTGACATAGTTTGGAAATGTGTAGAGGAGGGATGTACTGGACAAAGGATATTGAATATGGAGCTTCCAGGCAGGAGGAGAAAAGAAAGACCAGAGGGGAGGTACATATATGTAGTCAAACAGGACATTGGGCTGGTATGACAGAAGATGATTCTAGAGATAGAATGAGATGGAAGCAGGTGATCTGCTATACCGACCACAAAGGGAGCAGCCAAAAAAGAAGTATAAAAAGGAAGAGGAAGCTTTAAACTTGGGTGTGCCAAGGAAAGTTTTAGATCTATTGTATTAAAGGTGTAGTGTGTAGAATATCACCACTAGATGTCAGTAGATTGCAGATTGCAATCAACTGAGTTCTGTTTTCTTAACCATCCTAATTTAAGTGCATAATCCTAGCTATGGTGGCTGCTGTAGTGAGTGTAGGCTGTCAGTCCACTGTTTACCTTAGCTGTAAATATATGTCCATATCTATTTACTCTGGAGGAGGCTGTAAAACTGAAAGCTAATGTGAGCTGATGAGTCAGTGAAGCTCACTTCTGCCTGATGACAGCATTGCTGAGGTGAGTTGCTTAGGATATCCTGAACTTCCTGTCGGTAAGTGCTGCAGTTTTTTGCTGTTGATAGCTGCCGTCAACTGGCGTTATTGAAACTTTCTTTGAAGTGGATCTAACATTGTTGGACTCAAACACACAGCAAATAAACTCTAGTATGATGTGAAAATGTAATCAAACTGTTTAATAGAGGGAAAGAATTATTTTTTGGACACCTGAACCTAAAATTATCTGGCATAATGTTGGGTCATCGTAACCAGCTGGTTGTTTAGCTGGCTCGTTGTTAGCTGTCCAGAGATGGGACAGTCGTACGTATGATCTGGTGACAATAAGAAATTGAGACAATATTAGGACTAAACAAGCATGTTTTCATGTATTAGAGGGATGACTTCAGTTTCGGAGATGAAGCTGGAGATGAGAAGGAACTGGTTGAGGTGGAAATGTGGAAGGAGGCATAGGAGTGGTGGAGGAGGAGGCAGATGAATGGGTTAACCTTATATGTGGCTGGTCTCTAACCACATACATAAAATTTGATTAGGCAGAATTGTGATGTCCATCTTGACCAAGAGGGCGGGCCATATACAAATAGCATAAACAAAGAAATAACATCAAATGTGTTTAAAAAAAAAAAAGTCAAATTGAGTCAACCCCTTAAAGGAGTGCCAAAGGCTTTAGCAAATAAATATGTTTTATAAACAGTTGTAAACTCGACATGCAGTTAATGGGGTAAGGTTAGTTGATAGTTAATTCTAGATTGCCCTCTGATCTGAATGTGAGTGTGAATGGTTGTCTGTCTCTATGTGTTAGTACCGTGGCTCTCGCCCTATGGTAGCTGGGATACAATTGGTAACAGAGAATGGAGAATGCACCGTTGATAGCTGAAGAAATCTATTTTTGTTGTTCTTTATAAAAACAAAAAATTGAATAGCCTATATTCACTGTTCCTTTAAATGAACAAGAGACACCTTGAGAAAAGGGTTTGTTTTACGTTAAACTTCATGCATTTTTTTTAGTATGCTTTCCATTTGGACATAAAATCCACAGCTATTTCTTTTCAGTAATGCAAAAATCACTTTGTCAGTAGTCTAAAAATACATTACAGTGGTACTAGCATAAAAATACAAATGTTAATACTATTATTTTAATGCTATATTAATATATTAAACTAATTTGAAATGAGCGCTTTAGGTCTATGATTAGCTTCACAGAATCTTTTATTCTGAAACAAGGAGCCGGAAATGCACTAATACACACCAGCGAAGAAGAGCACGAAGCTAGCTTGCCAAGCTAACCGGTTGTAGACATCTGATTGAAGATGTAAACATGTATAAACCTTTCGATTGAATGGGAAAAATAATTAACCGTGTTGTTAACAGGCGTTGTAGCTGCTGTCGGTTTGTGATTTGACACGGTGTCAAATGTGAAGAGGTAAGGTCACTGTAAAATTCAATTCAATCATGCATGAATCATTAAAAGCCGTCCATTGAATGAAGTAAAATTGCTCTGTGAGGTGAATAGCAGGCTATACTGCCTCAGACACTAGTTTGATACCAGTGCACTGTCTGATAATAAAGCTGGAACTTTGTTCAAACTTTCCGCATGAAAATTACTTAATTAAGCCTCTGATAACTGAATTTTTTGAAAGTTATACAATCACTTGTTTCAGCGTCCAGATGTTAATGTTTTTTCTAGTTTTCTTGTGTAACTATAGGTATTTCTATAGGTTTTTTGTTGGCATTGCCGGTGAAACAAACGTTATTTGCCAAATTATTGATATGACGTAAACTAAACATGCATACACGTGTCTGCCTGACCTAAATGACCGACCTCAGTGACTGTTATCAAATGTAATTCCTCTTGTTTCACTCATCAACAGATTCCAACATGTCCATCCAGTTTGTGTATAGCCATCAGCACTTCGTCACTGATGTGTATCGGATCAGTGGAAACAATTCCGCTAAAAACTCTGCATCAACAAAGTTTGACACCGCCATCCAAGGCGGCTGGGCAGACAGGATGGCACGGGGCATATTTCGCTACCATCTGGGGGATTTAAAAACGCGGGTCCTGCTGGGTTCTCATGGCTACGTGGCTCAGCTGAATATCCAAAGAGGAATAGAGAGAAGAAAGCCACAGGAGATCATGAGCATTAAGCAGGAGTTTAATGCCAAGCAGTTTAACTTTAACAAAATTAAACACGATGAAATCATATTTGAGATGATAAAGGACAAAAAAGGAGGTTCACCTTTGACTAACAATGCAGAGTGTCCTCAACCCCAGAAGATGGTTGTGTTGGTCAATGTTAGCCCTCTTGAGTTTGGACATTGTCTCTTTGTCCCAGATCCTGCTCACTGTCACCCACAGATCCTGACAAAGTTTGCAATCCATGTCGGCATTGAAGCTGTGCTTCTGAGCTCTGATTCCGGTTTCCGTGTGGGGTTCAACAGTCTGGGAGCATTTGCATCTGTCAATCATTTACACCTCCATGGATATTACCTAGACCATCCCCTCAAGATAGAGTCTAAGCCAGTTAAACCTTTATGTCCTGAAAAGGGATTTTATCGAATTTTGGATTTCCCGGCAGGCTTTTTGTTTTATGCAGAATCAGAGGAGGTGGAGAAAGTGGCCCAAACTATCTGTGAAGTCACAGATTTTCTTGTGAATGATAATATTGCTCATAACCTCTTTTTGACTAGAGGAAGTCCGGCGTGTGTTCAAACGCAAGGTGAAAAGGATTTCTGTTCAAGAAAAGGTGTTCGCGTTGCTCTGTGGCCCAGAATATCCTGCTTCGGTGCCAAAGAGGAGTCTGCCTTTAATGTTGCTCTATGTGAACTGGCTGGACATTTACCCTTTAAGAGCAAAAAGGACTTTGAGCGCATGACAGAGAAAGATGTCGTTGATGTAATCCAGAGCTATCTTTTGCCTGAAGATGAGTTTCATCAGCTGGAACAGCAGCTTACTGAACATTTATTGTGTTCATAATGTGCGGTCATTTTCATCAACTTACAGCTGGGCTGGAAGGGTCTTAGACTTTTGATGGCATAAATGGATGAATCTGGCCTCTGGATTTTGAATTAAATTGTAAAAACTGCAATACCGTACTGAATGTGTGTCAGAATCTTCCCTGTACAATGAAAGAGATTACACATGTTGAGACTTATGATATTTACAAGATAAAATGTGCTTTAATTGGTTAATGAATGTGTTTTCGCAAAACTGATATCAAATAAAATGTGACTAAAGAATGGAGTTTTGTGTCTGTCTGTTTAATGAATTGCTGTTCTTAGCCAAGTTTAATCGGGTCAGGAGAAGCTTGGGTGTGGTGGCACAATGAATTGCTGTTCTTAGCCAAGTTTAATCGGGTCAGGAGAAGCTTGGGTGTGGTGGCACAGAGCAATTGTGACTGCTATTTGTTACATGTGAGCATTTTATGTTTGGTGTAAAAGGAGCATGGTGGTAGGATACATTTCTCCAAGTAAAGTATATAATAACAATAAGTGTCATTGGGTACAAAAGGTTTTGCATTGGTTCAATAGAAAGGAGCAGATTACTGAGAATTAAGGGCTGTAAGTTCTGTGGAAATCAGGCATAGGGGCATTTTGAGATTTGGACATAATATTCTTGACATACTATATTCTTGTCTATTTGTAGTGAAAAGATGATCGTGCCTTATGTAAAAGCCAGCAGCTTGAAGGATGCATTTTGTCCTTGTGTTTTGGATACCGGGTATTTTCCACAGCTGTTATCCCAACACGTTCTCAATGTGACAAATCGTCAGCATGTTACGCTTTCAGTCACCCAACGCGTTCCTTTGTTATGTAATGTTATTGGTAACATTACCTAAATAACTGTCACCTGACAGTTATCCTGGCTCCACCATAAATAAAACTGCGCAACAAGCCCAAAGTTAGTTCACAGCTATTGTCAAATAACAACACTACATCGGGCATTATGAATTTCAAAAACTCACTTCAGAAAGCCTGACAATGGTTCTCAGATAAACATCAATGCTAAACATAATCTCTGAAGAGCAAATCATTTGCTAGAACGACATCACCAAGGTAGCAGCAGTAGCGAGAGGAGCTGTCTGCTCACCTGTTGTAATGAGGCTCCTCACTGGGGATCACTCATAGCACATTAATCTGTATACTTGGCTGCCAACTTGCTCTTTTTCTTCTATAATGGCTCAAAATGGTTTGACAGTTTTAATATTTATTATATTTATTTAGCAGACAGGGCAAAGTATTTAAACAGATTAAGGGGAGTTACTATAGTCCTTCTTTTGCTGGTCTATACCTGGATAAATGGGAACTTCGTGTTTAATCAGGAAAACATGTTTTTCACACATATTATTTGCTGGGGATTAATTAAAGATATTTGTTTGATTTGGTCTCGATCAGAGACAGAACTACAAGCTTTAAATAACATGCATTCCAATATTAAGCTATTGTTAGGTTATAGCAACACTATAGGAATTCCATATGTGGAAGACAACTAAAAAGGATATAGTGCTCATAACCTTGCTGAAAAAAATAAAGGCATTTTAATTTTATTTTGAAAAGACCTGAAGTTTTGGATATTTAATCCAAATTATTTGTTCCAGTTTACTGATTCTTTATTTTACTCCGCTTTCATTGTTTCTGAGCACTAAGTGCAATAAAATGTTTTAATGTGAAAGTGAAAGTGAAATTGTTCTCTATAATTTGCTTATATGAACCAGAAAAATGCACAAAAAACTGGACACTTGTTTCAACCTTAAACCCAATGATGGCTGTTTCAATCAAACCTGTCTTAGACATCTTAGACATTATTTACAGTTCATCGAAACAGCCCTGAGCAAGGAGAGAAGAATGTCCCCTGTAGCCATCTAGAAATAAGAAAACATTAACTGCAAGTTCTGAACAAGCCTCTATTATTATTGAAAAGCTTCATTTGTTTTCCAAAAATTGGCTTTTTGTCCTAAGGAATAAGTTAATCTCGCTGTTATATTACATGCTAAGCAAACATAAAGCCTAACCAATGAAATTTAAGGAACAATGTTTTTGCAGATTATTTAGGATGTGAATAAAGTTTGATTTGGTTTGATCAAAATTTTAGTAAAAACTGAAAATATGCTAAAATCAAAATTCAAAATCTAGATATCACTGAAAAGAGTCGCATGTGACTTGCAATTTGTAGGGAGAGTCTGTGGGTGTGTCCTCAGAGTCCCATCTTGAATCTAAAATGCTCAGACCTTTAAAGCGTCTGTCACTTTTGCAGAGAGCAGCTCAGCAGAATAATTCAGAATTCAGATAATAAGGCATTGAGATAAAAATAAAAAAAACCAAAAAAAAATATATATATACATATATGTTGTTTTTTTTATTATTATTTTTTAGAAAATCTATTTTAAGTAATCAAAAGCAATGGGAGCTTGTCAGAGCTTTAGGGAAATGTGTGATCGTGAAAAGAACACCAATGTTCATCTGAGTCTTCCAGCCGTTTGCATTGTGTGGCAGACTGCCATGATCATCTTGTTTGGGGTTTTTATGCGTTATGATCACGAGTCAGATGCGCACTGGGTAGAGCACAGAAAACATTTAAATTTAACAGACATTGAGAATGACTTCTACTTCAGATATCCAAGTAAGTAATTTCTTTATTTCTATCTTTCTTCACCAGTAAATTCTGTAATGTATCCATTTCTATGTACAATTAGATATTTGTTCTATAATTTTATCTCTGCTAGCAAATAGTTTTTTCCAGTCCAGTAAAAAGCTTCTGGTTGGCTTACCAGTTTCAGACCTCATATTATGCTAACCTTACAAATTACCTTCACATTGCTGACAAAGATCTGACTCCTAGGTGAATTTTCCCCAAGGATTTGACTCCTCTAAGGCCTCGTCCTGTTAAAAAGAAAAAGAAAAAGAAGAAGCTTAATGTCCATACTAAGCAATAAAGTGTGTCTAATTTTGATAATATGTTTTGTTTAGATTATGAGATTTTAAAGATCATGTAACATGGGTGGATATATTGGATGTATGGTTGTGGAAACTCTACAACACAGTCCACAGTGTCAATGTCAGGCTGTCGATAAGGCTAAGCCATCTGAGATGTGGTGTTGGATGTCAGATGAGAAGTTCTTTTCCTGATACACGTTAAAATTGGAGACTGAAAATACCCGGTTTTAAATTGATCAGTTTAACTGCAGGCAGTTTGCAACATCTCAGGCTTTGCTGGCTATGTTAGTTCGAAGACAGAAAAAAAGAACTTGTGCTAAAACATTTGCAGCTTATTGTTTCACAGTTGAGTGGCACCTATTGCGCCCCACAACGTGTGAGACAGTTGCAGTGTTATGTTGTAAATAATGCTGCTGTGCATGCTGGTATCTATGTATCCTATTTGCTAGTCATGTCAGGTACTGCCTGTCTCATGATTAAAGAACACTTCTTCAAGTGTGTAGCTGTAAATATAATCTCTAGATTTTTATACTTTTAATCTTGATTGATCTGAACTTCTAAGACCTGACAGATTTTTTTTTGGCTTAATTTAATGGAGTTATGCAATTCCTGACAATTTATTAAATATAACTAACTTTAGTTAGATAGATATATAAATAACCTAATTTTAAAAAAAAACCCCAAAATTTTGATTTTGGGCAGGTGTTGTCCATACTTGCACTACAGACCCTCCAGATTCATGGAAACTGCCAAATCATCACTGTCATCGTTTTCCTGGTCTGCCCGTGTTACTTTTAAAGACATTTCCTGCAAACCCTAAGGGTTAGCACCTGCATAAGTAACTAGATGTAACTCTGCATCATCAAAACATGTCATCATCTAATCTGCAACAGTAAATACACACAGAGTCCTCGAGTCATCTTCACGTTTTACCCCCTGTTATTTAATAAGCCCTCATGACTCCTGATGACATATTGTAAAAGTAAACTGCATGGTAGACAGAGCTCTTAAGGTGACAGTTTTTCCTCTAAATTCAAGAGTACACAATGTAACCTATAAAAGATCACAGGTTAATTAGTATCAGATTAAGAAAGAAAAAAGGACAACGATGGGTGTGATTAGCATTTTTGAAATCAAAAATATCTCTGCATACGATTTTATATAGTCACATTTAAAGCTCAGTTATTCTGAGAGAACGTGTACTTTAAATAGTACATACTTGGGGCAGAATCACCCCATTGCAAGAAGGTTGTGGGTTTGAATCCACCCCAGTTTGCCCATATGCCCCCAGTTTGCATATGCTTCCTGTGTCTGCATGCGTTCCCTCTTGGTATTTTGGCTTCCCACAGTTCAAAGACATGCGCGTTAGTTTAACAGTGATTCTAAATTAGCCTTATGTGCGAATGTGAATGGTTTTCTGTCTCCCTGTGTTTCACAGTGTGTGTGTCTCTGTCACAGCTGTGACAGGGAGTGGGGTGGCTCAGGTTGTAGAGCAGATCAGCTACTGATCGGAAGGTTCCTCAGCATACAAATATCCTTGGGCAAAATACTAACTCCAAATTGCCCTCTGATGCATTCATCAGAGTGTGAATTAGTTGCACTTGAGTTTAGAAGTGCTTGTATGAGTGGAGGTGAATGAGGCATGTTGTATAGAGCGCTTTGAGTACTCCGGGAGAATAGAAAAGCACTATATAAGAATCAGTCCATTTACCATTCTATCCCAACTGAATGAACGAGCCGAAGAAAATGAATAGATCCATAACACATGCTTACTAAGACATAAAATATAGTCATGGTGCATGGAAGGCTGACTTGAAGTAAATGGATTACATGTAAAGTTTCCATGTAATTTTGTTACATAAGCACAATGTAAATGTTACATTTAATGGAATCTGGTCAAATGAAATTTACTGCATTGGATACATGTAGAAATATCAAGCACATTTTACACAATGATTAATTATTTTAATAAATAAACCTTTGATTTATATATTTCACTTTTATATTAAAAATGCTAATTTGCTGTGCAAATCATCCCTAAATTGTTTAAAGCCAGGTTTTCTTTTTTATTCTTTTTTTTTCTAGTTTTGTCTACATGGGCCCTCTTTTAGATTTTCCGCTCTTTCCACAATTTTTGCATCAACCCTTCAGACACTTACTTTGTTTACTCTAGTTGTGTGTTGGCAGACTGTAAGTGACTATCCACAACATGAGTTTGAAAGTAAAAACGTTATAACCACTATGCCACCAAGCTGTCCCTACTACCATTCCTTTCCTTTTTTCTACTTCTATTCTGTACTGCTCTTCTAATCACATTTTTCTGTTAGGTTTCCAAGATGTCCATGTGATGATATTTGTTGGATTTGGTTTCCTCATGACATTTCTTAAGCGATACAGCTTCGGAGGAGTAGGTTTCAACTTCCTCATCGCTGCCTTTGGTCTTCAGTGGGCACTGCTGATGCAGGGCTGGTTCCACTGGCTGGACGCTGATGGGAAGATCAGAATTGGAATTGAAAAGTAATAGTTCAGTTTTATTGCTCATGATTTAAAGGAATCACTTCACACACAAAAAATCTTAAATGAAAGACTTACAGATATTAAATAACAGGTCATGTTATGAAATAATGTGATTCATGCTATGAGGTCTTGTCTTTGATTCAAATACGGTCTCTCCTATGGGAATATGTTTCCACCTGTATCCAGAAGAAAAAAGTGTAGGTGGAGAAACCAGTCTGAAAAATTGCCACAAAGATGTTTTTCAGCCACCCAAGAGTTTGTGTTTGTGGTTGGAAGTTAGACTGAAATTGGGGGTAATGGGAAATTATGCTATTTCTGAAGTGCTGCCAAAGATATGATAGCTGTGTTTGTGTGTAAAATAGAGATAGAGAAAGTGATCCACATGGGGTAATTCAAAACCGTGACCCTGTCCTGGCAGCATAGTTTCTACCGAAACACATTAAGATGTGTTTTCTTTTCATTTTCCACCCATGTGAATCTATGTTAAGTGTACAAAATGCAGCATTGTTAGTTCATTCATTTCGGAATAAGTGCACTCTTAGCCAAATAAATATGATGATCTTGCGCAAGGCCAGTGCAGAGAAGTAATGCTCTTTTATTTCCTTGCTTGTCCTTTACATTTTGGCTGTTTTGCCTTCTTCAGCCTGATCAATGCTGATTTCTGCGTGGCTGGCTGCTTGATTGCCTATGGAGCATTGCTGGGAAAAGTCAGTCCAGTCCAGCTAATGGTTCTGACTTTGTTTGGGATTACACTGTTTGCTGTCGAGGAATTTATCATCCTAAGTGTTATACATGTAAGTTTTAACAATCAGATTATACTTCACCAAAAATATATAATAAAAATGCTATCTAATCAGACAATACATATAATTTCCAGTTGTAAAAACAGGAGCTCATTTAGTTCATGTCTGTGAACGATCCAGACCCGACATGATGTTTAGGTGACTTTTTCACTGTCATTTTATTGAACTAAAACACACACACACACACACACACACACACACACACACACACACACACACACAC